AATGACCAATCTGTAGAATGTAATGCCCCTCAACCTTTATTGGCTGTGGGAAAAAAACAAAAAGTCACACTTAAAAATAAGTTTAAAAACAAGTAAAAGGCCTATACCTTTCCATCTTATCTTTTAAACATCTTTAACCTGGATTGTTTTTCCTGATACAGTTTATATTGTCAGATGCAGCTGTCTCTTCCAGCTGATATTATTCAGTCACTGCCAAAAATGTGTTGCTAGATATTTGATTCCTTTAACGCCCCTTGCTTCCATGAAAATGAATATTTTTTTTATTGATGTCGTTTTTATTTATAATAGGGCAGTTAGTAGAGCACAGAAGAATCAACAAGCGTAGCTAAGAAAGCCTAGTTTATTACTATAGATGTATATGAACCTGTAAAAGCTCATTTGTTGGGAATTGTAAATATTACAACTTTAGTGTTCTTATAAATAGCTGGAGTATATTACCTAGAGATTGTATTGTTTAACCTTGTATTTTAACTATAGATAAATGTAGGAATATTTTAATCAGCTCTTTAAATGGTTAATTAATTGATTATACAAGTCTGTTTCCATAGGTAACAACATTAGGATACTAGGAAAGTTTCATTAGGCATTTTAGTATTGCTGGATTCAACCATACTTTTTTAAAGAGTGTTTTCTAGCTTTTAAATACTTCAGCTCCCCAGATGTCTTCAGAGAGATCATTTCAGCATTTTACTGTCCTAAATATGCATCTTTATAGCCAATGGCTAGTTAGGAGGTGGACAACCAAACACATTCATGGGTCTGTGTCCTAGCACACGCAGTATTCCAGGCCATTAGTTGGGGAATAAAGTATCTTAACAGTGATTTTTTCCCCCAGTATCCTAGAAGCATGCATTGCCTTTTCTCAGTACAATTTCTGGCTCATATTGCTTTTATGCAAAAGTTGGCCTTCATTATATTTATTATATAATTTATTATTTCATTATATAGTTATGAAATAATATCAAATACTTCAAAGTCATTACTGTTATCTAACAATTTGGTTTTGGATACTAAAAATAGGTTTCTTTCATGGTTTTATACATTCAGATAGCAGCTGTTTTCTCTGTTATATCTTAATAGCACTCCAATTTATGTTTTCCTTACACATATCAAGGAATCATAACTTTTACTTCTGTGATCTTATAAAGCTTGCAGTATTTTATCTATAAGACTTAATTTGGCCAATATATGTAGAAATTGTAAAGTACTATTTCTTATCTAACATCTTTTGTTTGTAAACAAATTCTGATTTTCAGAGCAACTCATGCATTGTTCATAACTTCTGAAGTGCTAATGAATTTTTAGTAGTTTTGCTGAACTTTGATTGTTGATTGGGGTTTTTTTTCCGAACACTAAGACAGAAATTATTATGTTAGGAGCTCTTGGAGCATTGTCTTAAATCCTTTGGTTCAGCAGAGAACCTTTTTCTCATTTAGAAATACCCAACCTTTTATTTAGCCAGAGCAAGGGTATTTCGTAAAATGCTTTGTTTTCTTGCCACAAAAACTCTAGGAAGCCCTGTTACGAAAGAAATGCTGTCAAGTGGCTTTCCTCCTGCCTTTATCACTGATGTTCAATAACCATTCAAAACTTACAGGGTCAGGTAAGAGCTTTCTTCATAGAGCAGTGACATTATTTCTGGTTAGCCTCAGAAATGTTATATTTGCTGAGAGCTCCAATGCATTTTTCATTTGATTTTTTTGTTTGTTTGTTTTTTTTGTTTTGTGGTTCTATCATCTTTTACAGAAGAGAAATTTTTTTTTTTAAGTTTAGCTAGCCAACTAAGTTTGCTAATAGATCCACTGAGCAGTTATTCAGAAATGTTTGCTAATGTGTCTTGCTTTAGGAAAATATCCAAAATAATTGGATTGAGAATGCAGCATGCAGAGTATTTTTCCAATAGCAGTATTTGGAAAATTGTATATGTGAATGGTGCTGTATGCTCATTGTTGCATATATGTGTGTTTTGTAAGCTACAACAGCTTAAGTGAATATTTCAATACAGCAAAATAAGTATTTGAAGACAGAAGAAGAACGAGCAACTCTTGAATACTTTGGCATAGTTGTCTTGAAGCTTTAAAATTACACCTTGACTTGCTTGATAATTAAGTTTATTTCTTTTTTATATTTTAACTATTTATTGATTCTGCAAAGACTTGTGCATGTGATTAACATTAACATTAAGTGGAAGTATTCAGGCTGCTAAAACTAGACAGGTTCTTCACTCCTGGCAAGATTCAGATCTCTGGTTCCTTAATGTTTATATTCTTGAGAAATACTTAATTTTTATTCTGTAATGCAAAATGTATTTCTGATCATCCTTGAAGGGTTTCTGTTAGCTTTTCTTGATGGGATATTTTAAGTGGGAAATCTTCAACCTTTATTGCGGAGTCAGAGCAAAGGAAAAGTGTTGTAGTGAATGAGGGGAAATGAATAGCAAGCTCTAATAAGATTTCATAAACACTACCAACAACAGACACACCGCCATATTCACCAAATATACTGCTATGTCACTCTTCAGTAAAAATAAAAAGTATCTTGTTTACTGTGAGTGTTCCAAAGGGACTATATGAAAGTGTCTTGATTGCTCTAATTCTTAGTGCTGCAACTGGTGAAATGGTTTGAACCATCTTGCAACACCCTGAATGCTGTCAGTGGTCGGGTGTTAAGAACCTACATTTATTAGGTCTTAGGTAGACACATTCATTTGCTCACATGAACTACTGCATTGGTTAGGACTGCTTTTTTGAAATGAATATTGTCAAGAAGGAGCTTTTTTTATCATCACTTCTTAAAAAGTTACCAATAGTGAAGAGCTGACCTAAAACCTGAGGCTTGTCTTCATGCTTACCTGTCTTCATTGCTTGTTTATAATTATGTACATTTCTCTGTCTTTGTCTGTATATATCATTCACCGTATACATCCATACTTGTTTCTGCAGTAAGTTTGTGACTACCTAGGAATTAAAATTCTCAATTTGGTTTTTGCTTCTCTGGGTCAAAAATATACCTGCCTGGTTGGTGATTCTTTAATTATCTTTTTAATGTGCCTTACAGTTGCCTGTAGAGATTGAAAATCCAAAAAAGCTAGAAATGTGACAAAAAATTAAAATAGTGACATCTGTGTTACATAAGTTCTGAAGTCAAATATGTTTGTGAAGTCAGAAGTAGTCTCTAGGAAGTTCATGTTTATGACTACTACTATGATTCATCTGTTATACTGCAAATATCTTGTGTAAATGTTTTATTTTGCATCACTTCTGCTACCTGAACAAAATTTGATCTCACTTGTTAAACCTTGTAAGATATTAAAATAACTAATTTGCTTTGTTTTTTTAAAATTTGCATTGTAGGTTTTGACTTTTGCCTATAAGCATGCATTGGTAAATAAAATGTATGGAAGAGGGCTCAAGTTTGCCACAAAACTTGCAGAAGAAAAGCCAACAAAAGACAACTTAAAAAACTGCATTCAGGTAAGGAGTGCTTGGCCAAGGAATGGGGCCTGTGTTCATGCTGCATAACCTTTCAGAAGTAAGATATAAGTCTTCTGGAATTTTTTGTACTCTTCTCATTTTAGAAAGCACTAAATGTAATATTTTAACTTTATCCAGGTTTTGTAACTCAGCCTTCATTTGAAACAGTGATTTTTTTTTTCCTTTTTCTAGAATAACTTGTTTGTGAGTAACTGTTGTTTTTAGATTTACTTTTTGGAACATACTTTGGGGCATAAAGGAAGTAGAGACAACTTAGTCAAAGATACCTGCATAAAAATCCCCTTATGTTGCTGTTTTACCACTGGGGGTTTTTTTACTATTATTAATCATTATTACTTTATTATTAATCAATTATTACTGCTCGTAGAACTTAAGGGAGAATTAATGGGAATTCCTAAGATTAAATTCTTGTGCATTGTGTTGAAAGAATGTGGATCATATAGAATGGGGAGGAGGGGTCTTCTTCAGGACTGAGGAATTCACAGCTTACCAGATCTCCAATCTGTTGTCTTTCTGATTATAGACATTTTTAGTAATGTGTTGATATCAGTGCAGTGTTTGTTTAGATTTAGATGTTAAAAAAAGTAAGATTCATTTTTTTAATGTGTGCTTTTTTTCTTCAGCTGATGAAGTTGCTTGGATGGACTCATTGTGCAACTTTCACTGCAAACTGGCTTCCTGTCATGTATCCACCTGATTATTGTGTATTCTAGAGAATCAACAATTGTAAAATCAAAATTATTTTATATGGGACAGGATAGGAAAAGAGAAGTTTGACTTTTTATTAGAACGCATGTTTTCATTACTGAATGCTGATTATTAAATTGTGTGTATTTATCAGTAAGGGCACCTGGGTATGGCTTAATACCTGTTAACCTAACTCCTGCCATCAGGGAGTTTCTTTATTGTGCATCCCATTGCTGGCAATGGATGTGCCAGAACTGCCAACATCAAGGATTTGGAATTAGTTTGGAAAGAATTACTGCATGCATGTTATGTTCCAAATTGTTACTTTGAACTGCAAACCTGTAAAAGTTCTGTATTTTTTATGGTACACTAAATTTTAACATGTTTGATCTTAATTTCAATTGTATGAAGGCCTTAAAGCTACTTCAAGAGTAGCTAAAATCTTACTTATTAGATGAAAATAATGGACACCTGTATTATTTGCAAGAGTTTACATTTAATGTTTTTGAGAAAAATTCAACCTCTCAAATGGTTACAATGTTTCTCAGAATTGCTGATGCATAGGTACTCTTGTAAATTTTCAAAACTCTTCATTTTGGAGTGATTTCAGGTAAACTTAGAAATCCTGGTTAAGCTGAGTATCAGGACAGGCTGATACGTGTATAAAAGTGCCAGACAGTTACATGTTGATCAGATATTGTAAAGCTATACATAGATGTTTATTAATGTTAAAAATACAAAACACAGCAGAATAAATGTGCAAAAATGAAGATCAAAATACCACCATGTTCACTCTGATACTTTAAAAGGTTTTTATAATGAATAAAAATACTGAAGCTAAAATTGTATTGGTTTCTGGATGAGTACCTAAATAAAATGTGGTGAAAGAAAGCTTACAAACAGCAGAGGTTCAGTGCAGCCCAAAAGATCAATGCTTTTTGTTAAAGCCTTCTTACTAACATTGTTCTTTCAGTGGAGGGGAGTTGGTCAGTTTGAACAGGTCATATTTATCAACCAGAGACAAACTGCTATATCTTTTTCCTTGCTGGGTTTTTTTTCTATTTGCAATGCAAAACTTAGATGCAACTGCAACTTTACAACCATAAATGCACAGATGGTTCAACATAATCTTGGGAAGCATTCCAATTTGTGAGGTGCTGCTGCTAAATCAAGATCAGTAATAGTTTTCTCTTTAATTCTTTCTTACTGTGGCTTTAAGCAGCTTGACATTTGATTCTGGAAATTCTGCTAGAATGGTTGTGTTAAATATACTGCAAACTTTTTCCAAAAATTCGTAGTCTGTACTGAATCTGAATTTATTTGCCCATAGTAATACTGTTCCTGGCTTACAAAAGTACACCATTGTTGCTAGCAGGGGGTCCAGAGCTCCATGATGGTACACAACATCAGTTGCCAGTATGAAATCATAATGGTAAGTTGATACAGGAAAGTCTTCATTGAGGCCTTCTCCCCATACCAGTTTTCTCACTTCAGGTTTGTGCATATTCAAGTTCTCTGTATTTCTTGAAATATTGTATGAGAGATTTTCAAGAACTTCAGGCAAATCAGTAGCTGTAACATGAGCCCCTAAAGAAGACATGAGTTTGTTAATCCACAGAATCACTAAGGTTGGAAGAGACCTTCAAGATCATCTGTCCAACCATGAACCCAGCACTGCCCTAATTGCCCCTAAACCATATCCCCAAGTCCCACATCCAGATGCCTCTTGGATACTTCCAGAGACAGTGACTCCACCACCTTCCTGGCCAACTTATTCTAAGGGTATCTAACCACCCTTTCTGTAAAATAAAAAAAATTCTAATATCAAATCTGAACTTCCCTGGCACAACTTAGGGCTGTTTGCTCTTATCCTTTCACTTGAGACAGGGCAAAATTCATAGGTATGTAGTTGAACATGTTTGAAGCTTTATCTGCATAACTGGTCCAGCCTCCCACTTCCCCATAACGAGGGTAATTTAGTTAACAAAACAGTATTTTACAGTGATTTTCGTTAAAAACAACAACAACAAATGAACAGTTACAAAGTTTACTTCAACTGTTGTTTCATTGCCTTAAAGTGACAATGGCAGATCTAGATCATCATTCACTAGAAATTCAAAAGGAAATACAAATTTACCAACCTAAGATGCAGGCCACAATGGAAAGCAAGCCTGTTCCAGCTCCGATTTCCAAAACTTTTTTGTCTTTGAGGTTGAATTGTTCTTGATTTGATTCCAGATACTGAGATAAAGCCAGTGCCTAAAATGGTTAACACATATCCATAAGAGGGTAAGAGCTAAGTTGCACAAAAACTCATTAGGTGTTTTTATATAAGGGTGTTGTGTCTTTTTAGTATAATGAGAAACACTGAAGGGTGTAACAGAAATGTAAGATGGGAAGAATTGTGATGCATCCTGGTTTTTTAATATAAAAAAATACCCTAAAGCAGTTTATTTTTCATTTTAAGTTTATGTGATACTGATTTACTACACACTTCTACATGAGTCCTCTGACAGCTCAAGACAGAATCACAGAATAAGCTGAGTTGGAAGGGACCCACAAGGATAGGCAGTGTTAAGATGTGAACCATACAGTCAAAACAGCAAAGTTTAACAATATGTAGGAAGTAATGGTCTGGTTTATTATAAATGTTATGCTGTACTATCATTATTATACAGTAACTTTAGGCTTCAGCAGAGATTTTTGATAAACTTTTTTGTTTCCATTTTTTTAGCAAAGAAGATATTGAAAATTGGTTATTTACAAACTCTACACTTGTTTATTGATAATAGTATAACCTTTGAGAAAAAACAAAACTGCACTGTATGAAAATATTATTAGGCCTTTGTAAAGATTTTATCAGCAGAATATAAGTGGGCTGTTTATTAACAACATAAACTGATGCCAAAGAAACTGTCTTCCCCTTTTTGCTTCTCTTCTTTAGAATTGTGTTACTGTTTTAACTCTTGTGCTTTTCATAATGCAACACTGTCTACCTGCTCTGGGAAAGCTGACAGCTAATGAATCACCAGTCCAATTTGTGCAACCTCTCAATTTTCTTGGAGAGTTTTACCATCTGCATTCTGACACTTGATTAATGTGCGAATTGATGATCTGACATTTCAGAATAAGATCCTGTTTCACCCACCCATATGCTCTCTATTGTTTTGAAATTGTCTGCCATTTTCTTGTGAGCTTTTTAAATAAATGTGGATCTGAACAATTTTGAAATCCTGATTTTTCTTGTCTTTATCAGTTGTATCTCTCTTCCCTCAAAGGCAAGTTTTCTTAGTCTGCGTAAAATTCTGTTTTTAAGAGTGGGAGAAGCAGAGACTGAAGAACTGCTTACAAGTATGATTTTCCATACTGTAATGAAACTGTTCCAGCCTTTTCTTTAAAAGAAGCACATTTAGTAATTTTAATATCTTTTATTTATTTCATCTCTCACAGTTTTGTTTTTCAGCCTCCTTTTAGTACTGCTGATTACTTACTTCCCAGCAGTGACTGATTGGAAGCATGGAGGAAGCTGAATGTTTCTTCCTGAGTTCCCTTACTGAATTTTTTTTCAATCTCTACATCCAGTGTACAAATGCTTTGGTGCCATAGTCCTTTTGGCATGAACTGGCAAATTACCCTAAGGCAGAGTTTTCTGCTGAAGGACTTCATTTTGCATAGGGAAACTTCCAATGTCAGAAGTATCATCTAAGAAAGCTTCTTTAATATTTGTGTGCTCTTGTCCTGGTTTGCTCTTGTGTCACGTGAGCTTTCTGCATGTGGTCTTGTGTACTTACCCCTGGCCATACCACGGCTCCAAAGTGTTCTATGGACTCCTGAATGACAATCTGGTGGCCAACGTACGTATAGTGCTCCTTATCAAAGTAGTGTGAAACTCTGGGAACCCAGTTCTGCAGTATTTTAAGAGTTACTGGTGAGCCTGTGAGAGAAAAGTTGAAATGTCATGGTTGTGTGTGCAACTTGTTAAAGGGTAAAAAGTATTTTACAAAAACAGTATGTGGGCATGTGGACTAGAAAAGTTCTCAAGACATTGGTCTTGAATCATAGAATAATTAAGGTTGGGAAAGATTTGGAAGTTCATTAAATCCAGCCATTAGCCAACTCAGCACTATGTTCATTGCTAAAACATGTCCCCACATCTGCACATCTTTTGAGCACTTCCGTGGGTGGTGATTCTACCACTTCCTTGAAACAGCTTGTTCCAATGCCTGACCACCCCTTCAGTGAAGGCTAGTTGCTGTCCAAAACCAGACAGTCTTGGTGGCCAGGGAGTGAAAGGAGCAATGGTCATTTCCTGCCATTCCAGGTATTCACATAAGCAATTCATATATAGAAACGAGCCTTTTAGGAAAAGCTACCAATTCAAATATAAAACTCTGCTAATAACATCCAGAGGCTTTTTTTCAGGCTTGTATTTTGGTGTTTGTGCTGTAGATTTCATTTGTGAGGCCAGCAGCTCTAGAACAGCAAGCTGCTTTTTACATAAGGACTTAGGATTTACATCCTACACTGAAGAAAACCTAACTCTTAGTGGTTGTTTTTTAAGCATTCTTCCACAGAAGGAGGGTTGTAAGGTGCTTTTTATGTTGGCATACACAATAGTTCAGCAAGTCAGTGGTACAGTTGTCCTAGGGTGTCTCATCATAGTGAGGAGACTCATGGCTGAGGTTCTTCAGATCTGTGCTGAGGCTGTTCCATTTGATCTCACTGAACACAAGGACACTATTCTGAATGGCTGAACTTTTGTTGCAAGGATATGCATAGAATTATGGGAAAAATTTGCTCTGGATTTTAACTGATGCCTGCCTGGAATCCTTAGTAGCTGTTGGAGCAGTTTAGCCTGTTAAAATCTGCAATAACATGGTTTCAACAGTGCCAGCCCAATCAATGCATATTATAACCATATCTCTTTTGTAAGAGATTTTAACTGAGAAATAATTCTTAGTTGTCTAAATAAAATCCAGAGACCTTTTTAAATATATTTCTTAATTATTGAGATAGAGGGGTATTTCTTGTAGATTTCATCTGATAATATATGCAAACATGAGGGGAAAAAATGGGGGAAATTGGATATCAAAGGAAAAGTTGCATGATGACATCTAATGTTTGAAGACTGACAAAAATCAAAATATGATATGTTAGCATGCCATAGCAATTGCAGCATTTAAATTTGACTAAACCTGTGTCAGATTCTGCATGCTCGGAGCTGCAAGTGCAGTTTTCTGAGTTGTACTGCTCTTCACAGGCTGCTTCTTCCTCAGATTGGCAGTCCATTGTTCTTTGAATTTTGCTGGGGAATAGTGGCTGCTGTGCTGAGATCATGGCAAAAGAGCTGAAACAGAAGGGAAAAAATAATGTTATAAAATCTTCCAGGCACTCTCTTCATATGGAATATGTCTGGAAAAAGACAGTGAGTAGTTTAGGTGGCCTTTGGTGGCCTTTTGGAGTTTTTTTCAGTGATGGATTGAAGAAACAGGATGAGATGGGACATCTCCACTCCACTGCATGGTACGAGCTGTTTCTGGGAATGTAGTAACGCTGTCAGAATTTTTCTTCTCTCTCATTTATAATTTTTACCATCATGTTTATTTTATAATTTATGCAGAACCTTAGAATTATGTCACTGAATTGATACCTCTAGTCAGCCTGAAAATTGAGCTACTCGAATAAGTTGAAGCAATAGCTGAGGAAGATAACTGTCTCTTAATATCGGTGACTTTTTATCTGTGTAATTTACTATTTTCAAAAAACTTGCGACATGATTCCAGAGATAAAACTGTTTCATTTGCTGCAGTCAGTGCTCTTGATTTTGTCTCCTTGCATAGAGTTGCTTTCTCTTCCCTGTCTTTTCCTGCAGAACAGCCAACCCAGTTATACTGCAGAACTGCAGAATGTGCAGATGGCAGTCAGGAAATCATTGCAGTGAGAAGATTGAATCCATAAGATTTTTGGATAACTCTCTCTGTTATCCCCAGGATACAGGGCAGCACCCAGTCTAAGAAGGAACTGATTGATACCAGCTGGCATCAATAAAAGCAGGAACAGTACTTAATACAGATTTGCTTGGAGAGACATAGGTCAGTGAAATTCTTTGCTTGACTAGAGTTTTCTTCAGTGAAGCACCTATGTATATACATATCTCTGTGAGTGTGTGAAAATTAGATATAGATATAAATATATACACAGAGACATCTATATGTAAAGAGCAAAAGGTTCATAACTTGCTCTGGCCAGAGGCTGTACATGTTCACTTTCCCACATAACGTGATGGCTGGAGTGAGCTGTGGTTTTATCCATGATAAAAACATTTGTCCACTCTGCTCATTTTTGAGACTGCCTATTTGCTCTCTCCAGCCACAGGCACTGCGAAGTGTTGTATCATTTGGGTTGCATCATACTGCAGGAGGCTGTTTCACATATCCTCACTGGAAGGGATAAATCTTTGGCAGTGGCCAAGATGTTTAGCAATGCCTGCAGGTATTTTTTAAGGAGCAGTGTGACTGCTGACTTATGTGAGTGATTTAATTTGCACATGATATTGACACCATTGCAATTCTACTGATACCTGATATATTCCTTATTGCTGCTCTGTTTATTGACAAGGACAGGATTTCTGTTCTAATTCCTCTGACACTGCATTTTCGCCATCTTGGCGGTGATTTTGTACTGCAACAGAAAAAAGTGTTTTAAAGTGCTTTAAATAGATTTCTGCACTTTTTTTTTTTTTTCTTCAGAGGGCCTCCATCTGGCTAGTAACAAGATCTAGCTTTCCTCTGTGGTGTATGATTTGAGGTAAGATGAAGGTTGGTAAGAGACTGAAGTTAATGGTGCAGTCACTGCATTCCCTGACGTGAGTGAGTGCGTCCATGTGCACATTCCACATGTCACAGTGTGCCTCCTTCCAACTGTAATGGGTTTTTTCATTTAATCAAAAGTAGCATTCTGGATTTGAGCAATGTCTCCTTTTCATGCCTTAAGCTAGAATAAAATCTGCTCATGTTTTAATGTTGTAGGAAATCTCTGTGAAAAATATTTTCAGACTTGTGCAATTGGGAGGGTACATAATGAAAAGGGAAGAATCTGTCAGAACTGGTGATGGCTACAGCCAGAAGACATTTGGTTGAAGACACAGTCTTCTGAACATTTTGTGTTGAAACCTGCAGAGCACTACATTCTCATATTTGGGGGTTTGGGGTGAGTGTTTGTTTTGGTGGGGTTTTTTGTAAGGCTCTTGTAGCCTTACAAAAATGATTTGTGCTATTTAAGTGAAAAAAACAATCCTGAAACTAAAAAGTAGTATAAAACTTTACCTTGTCCAGTAGTCTACTATGTATAAAATCATAAGCCTTGTTTAAACTGTTAATTTGTCAGTTTGGGTGGAAAATGATCCCCCTGTATTTTTTGTCTTGCTTAAGCAAGCTCTTACTACAACAGGCCAAAATTTTGGTTGGCTGTGGGTGGCAGTGAATTCCAGAAAATAGCTTGGAAACATGCTTGATAAATACAAATTTGTTTATCAGCTATTTGCTGCTATTAACCTGCAGCAAATAAAATTGTATCTCTGATCCTGATATATATCTATACCCTATTTATCACTCATTCAGACTGAGCTCTAACTCGATTAGATATATTATGTTACATTTTCAAGATGAAAATTGTTATGCTTTCCCTCACTTTGTCCTTTGAGTTCCTCTAAAATGGGAGTCTGCTTAAATATTTACAAAGAAACCTTGCTGGTTTTAGTAAATTCATTAAAATGATCAGGAGGCCTAAAATCCACACCAGTGGTTACCCTGCTGCTGGTGTGGTCCTTAAGTCCACAAGTTGCCTGAGCTCAGAGGTGGTGATTTGGGGGGATAAACACTATGCACTCTGTGTTTGTATGTCACCTGACACACTGGGCTCTGGTTTTCGGCTGGAGCTTCTGGATGCTATAATAATATCTTGTAGTGGTGTAGCTTTTGCTAAACAGAAAGGGGTTTATGACTGTGTATATATGCATATATATGCATGCTCATTCTACTGCCATAATTATTCAATGACATATTTCATAGGAGTTAAAAGTAAGTCTTTTCTTAGCTGCAAACTACAGGACCATTTTAGTCTTATGAATGCAAGAAGTCAAGTATATTAGTGTCTTGGCCTTAATGATGCACAGCTTTATTTGTCATTTTAAATGACAAACTTCCTGAAGGCTACAGGCACAAGTGAATATTGAGAGGCTATTTGCAAATAGGTGGTGTTTGCATTATTGCATTCTTTATGCAATATATGTTCAAGTTGGTGCAGTGTTCATAGAATTACAAATACCAACATTTCTCACTATTTTGACATTTTCCTGATCCATATTTTACTAAAAATTATATATCTCTAAAAGAATTTTGGTTTGATAATGTTGCAAGCAAAATCTGTTCCCTTAGAAAACATTGGCTCTTTCTGAGTGTTAGCAGCCAGGTTTTTTTCCAAATTAGTCTTGTTGGGAAATGATTATCTAAATTCTTTCAGAGTTTTTAAACCAGTATTGACTTCATTAATCATCTTAAGCTGTTGTGAACAAAACTTAGAAAATCACATTGGATTTCTTCAGAACCTAAGGAAGAAAGAAGAATTCACAAAACTATATCTATTTGACAATATTACATAAAATTAACAAGGTAACACTTAGGGGAAAATTGTAAGACGATGATAAACCTTAAGGTAACAGGCCCCTATAAGAATAAACTTTGTGCCTCTTAAGCTGCTGAAATCAATTGCTTGGAAAGAGCTTTTAATATCCAGTTATGTGGCCAAAAAAGAGTAGGTTAGTGAGCAGTGCTGTCACTGGGTCTTCAGCTGCAAACACAACTCTGCTGAAATGTGTTTCATCTCAGCGCAGAGTTGCTCAGTGTAGTCTGTGTTAGTCAAAATATTTGGGCAAAAGCCAATTTCATTTGCTCACGTGTGTGGTCTGGTCTTTGCAAGTGCAGTCTGTTCTTTTCAAGATCAGGTTTAACCATACATTAACATCTGTTTTAGAACTCATGCAATTTTCTCATGTTACCTTGATCTAAATTTAAAAAAAATAAACACCAACACTACAAATGCTAGGAAACAAAGGAAAAGTCAATGTTAGGAACATCACTATAGTAAATACTGAATCTACAAGACAAACGCACCCAAATGCCGCAGTGACTGTCACTCCGCACGAGACAGAGAGCTGGATTCTGTGGGCTCACTGAGCTGACCTGAAATACAAGAATTCAAAGGTATTTCTGTCGTTAGTTAGCAGGGAACACAAAGGCACGTCAGACGAGGTTAGCTGGGCAGCTGTGTGGGTACCTGATGTGACAGAGGGCATGGGAAGTTTCCTGTGGGTGGATGCACGCTCCAGAGGTATTTTATACAGGCGTGCACCTGAAAAGAATAACTTTCCCCTCCAGCCAGTCAGATTGCAGGTTATTTAGAGTAACATTACCAGGCAGCGCTCGAAGAACTTACACTTACCATGTTACACTTAAGACTTCCACATGTGCAGTACAAAATCAAAAACCCTGTTAGACTTTGAAGCCCCAGGCATACAAACCTTTCTCGGCTCCTCCAGACTCTTGTTCTGTTTTTGCAGACGACGCCATTCCCTGTGTTCGCCTTACGTCAGCGGAGCTGAACCAAGCCAGCAACTTACTGTGGGCAAACTAGCGCATAAATAATGAGTGTGGCAACTTGGCAGCAGCCCAAGCACAGGGAAAAGTTCATGAAGCTCCCACTACCAGGAAAAGGTCAGGTCTTCCTTGCCCTGCTGAGCGTCTGGCTTGGGAAGCTCTGGGTACCCTCCCTGCCCTGAGTCACAGACAGTGTGGGGAAGTGTCAATCCTGAGGAAAAAACAACTTTCTCATCATCTTCACTGCAGGTCATAACCATAGGAAATATTGTATGGACTGAAAGAGGATGAAAAACAAATGAAACTCATTAAAATCCCACTTTTATCAGAAGATCTTCCAGTAGGTTATTTTAAAACAGATGGATGTCATAGGTGTTGAAGATGAACCAGATGTGTATTCCTTATACATTTCAAGAATTGGAGAGGTTTATACACATTTATTCCTTTGCTGCCCTTCTGCCCTCCCTTCTTCTTTGCAAAGACTGCCAAAAGAAATTCAATTCCATTAGAGGACAGAAAAATTTTAAAGCTACTTTGAAAGTCATAAAGCTAGAAAATAACCCCTGGCTAATTAATGAACGGATAAAGGCTGGCGAAAGAAATGGGGGAGGCAGAGGAAATGTGGATTTTTAACCCAATTTATAGGCATTTTCATTTTGAGGTGAAAAGCTTTTGAATTTTGGTAATGCTCTCCTGAAGAGTGGCAAGGTTAAAAAAAATGAACCTTTTTGTGTCACAGCAGCTGTTCCATATGTGGGCTGCTGTGTGTCTCTAGGAGTCACACCAAGGATAGGAAACACTTGTCTCCACATTCAAATGCTCACCAGCTTCTTTCCTCTGAAATGTGATAGTTAAAATATACTTTTTTAATTTGTACTTGGGAACTAGTATTAAGCTATTAACTATATTAAGTTGATATTGTAAACTTTGCATTCCACAGACCTGCCTGACTTTACAAGTAGTGCAAATGAGTGGTCCTGAGGCAGGTGAGTAGCTGCTATTGGAAAAGAAGATAGGCTGCTGTTGGAATGACTGTCATGGCTTTTTTTAAGATATGGTCCTTTTAGCAGGCATGTTCCTGCTGTCATATTTGTTGTATTTATCACCAGGGGTGAATGCAGCTCAGACTGGTGCTGCTGTCAGAGCTCTGTCCTAAGCTTTGGAATGGGACTGATGCTGGACATAAACAGTTTATTTGTTAAATGAAATCAGAAGAGTTGGCTGACTCTGTAATGTGTCTCTTGTAGCACGGGTGGAAACTGTAGGAACAGTATTACCATTTATTTATGAATCATGCAGGCATGGCTTCATTTCTTGTTTATAACTCATGGAGGAATCAACACTGATACTCTGAAATGTAGCTTTTGTTGAATATATTTACTATATACTTTCTATAAATACTTCTTATTCCACACTCAATTTCCAAGTATTTCTTGTTTAACATTGAAAACTACTGTTGTCTGGAGGGGTAGCCCCATGGAATTAAAATTTCTCCAGACTTCTGTGAATGGGCAGGCTGAAGGCAATACAGCACCTCAGCTCTACATGTAAAAGGGCATTTTTCAGTTATTAATTCAACATCCAATTCCACAAAGCTCTGAAGTACTTGGTTGGCTTTTCTGTTTCTTTAAACACTCATGGGAATTTCGCCATCTAGACCATTGGCAGAAGACAAAATGCAGCAGGCTGCCAAATGTGATGAAGTAAAGCAAACTTAAAGTATTTTTAGAATGTATGTATTTTAACGTGAATTGTGTAGGTTTGGGGGTGTGTTAGGTCTGGTAATGTGAAACCTAATTGGTAGTGTGGGTCTTTTTCCCATTTAGGTCTATTAAACTATCAGGAAAGCTGGGAGGAGTATTTTTCCTGAGTTACTGAACTCAGCAGTAGCATTCTGTTCCATGTACAGGCAGAGTAAAACTACATTCCTACTACTGGATTATAGATTACAGGGTTTCAATTTTAAAACAAATTTAAAAGTTCCTCTGCTGTTAATAGTACCAATTACAGCATAAAATTATGTCAAACTATCAAAACTTTAAAAGGTTGTGATAAACAGGAATGAAAATGTCACGGTCATTAAACCCATCAGGAGCAAGAAGCCTGCCAGATTTGTGCCAAAGGACAGCAGAGTTAAACCAGAAAAGTTAAATGACAGTCTTGTCAATTAAATTGATAACCACAGATGAGCAGGACCAGATGGTAATTACTCAGAACTCCACAGTGGTATTATCAGCTCCAGACCAAAGTGTGGTGCCTGCATCTAAAAGTAGGCTTGATAACCAAGCACAGGAAATTGTACAAATGTGAGTTTTATTTCTAAGGGAGTCTTGGAGCCAAAAAGGGAGCAGTGGGGCAAGTCTGGCAGTGCTGGTTAAACTGAGAGGAACAGCAGTGCTGTGATAAATAAGAGGTACTGTAAAAAAGGTTTTGTGTGTTCTTTGGCAGTGTCTACAAGCATGTCATGAATTGTCCTTCAGCTTACAGCGTACGTGGTTTTCCACAAGCTTTTCATAGGTCACTCACTAAAGATCCCTACAGAAATTGAGTTTTGTTGGGATAAGGAGTTTTATATTTTGTTTTAATGATTTAACAGCAAGGAGGCCATAAGTGGTCAGGTTTTCAATGATCCAGAAGAACCAGTGCTGCTGAGTGCATTCCTAAAATGTAGTAGAAAATAATGTGATGACAATGCAGAATTATTCAAGACAGTGAAAAGAAAAATAAGCTGCAGAGTTCCAGAAGGATCTCTGGCATGTTATGAGAGGTGATAATGTGATAAATGAAATTCAGTGCTGACAAGTACCACATAATACACAGTCCCTAACACTGTAGCACCTAGGAAAGAGATCTTCAAGAAGACAGAGACAGCAATATACTTGCAAAACCACATCACTAACCAAAACCACAAATGGATTGTTGCATTTTTATAAAAAAAATGGAAAAGTCCAACCAACCAATTAACCAATCAAACAAAAACTGAAAAAGAAATATTGTTTTTTCCACTACAGGAATTCAGATATTATCTCATATTTTCAGTGTGTGCCTCGAATCCTTGATTAAAACATTCATAGTCTTGGAGCTTCTGCAGGATTTGCTGGAGGGCCTGGGTGACCTGGTGAATGACTGATGAAAACTGGCAGAGTCACACTTCTGCAGCAGATTCTCCTCATTCTTACTGCTGGAGGCATCTGTCAGCAGCCAGCTAAATGTCTACAGCATGGTCTTGGCATGGTCTGCTGAAGTACAAACGACTGCAAGGTGCATTTGTTCTCGGCTGACATCCCTGACAGGAAAACACCAGTGAAATATCTCACAGGAATTAAGGAATGTTTCTCTAGGAAGATGACACAGCCGACAGCTCAGCTGAGGTGCCTTTACACCAAAGCAGGCAGCATGGGAAACAGACAGGAGGAGTTGGAAGCCACTGTGCTGCTGGAAATCTATGACCTAGCTGCCATTACTGGAACTTGGTGGGGTGAATCCCCTGACTGAAATATGACTGCCAATGGCTACAGGCTGTTTAGAAGGGACAGGGGAGAAAGGAGAGGTGGTGAGGCTGCCCTGTATGCCAAGAGCTGGATTGAGTGTGGAGAGTTGTCTCTCAAGAACAGACATGAGCAGGTCAGAAGTCTGGGACAAGAACCAGAGACCAAGGCAGCAAAGAGAAACTTGGTGTTGGTGCCTACAGGCCCTGGACCAAGGGGAACCTATTGATAAAGCCTTCTTGCTCCAGCTACAGGAGGCATTGTGCTCGCAGGCTCTTGTCCTGCAGGGAGACTTGAACCGCCCTGAAATCTGTTGGGAAAGTTGCATGATGGCTGTAGGCAAAGCTGGAATGTGTGCAGGATAACTTCCTGACCCACGTAATAGCCAGCCCTACCAAAGGAGATGAGATATTAGACCTCGTAGTCACCCACAGAAGCAGGCTATTTTGGGATGTCAATATAGGAGGCAGCCTCAGCTGCAGTGATCATATGCAGTCCTGAGAGATATGGGTCACGTCAGCCGTGAAGTAAGGCCCCTCAATTTTAGGAAAGCAAACTTCGGCCAAGACAACTTTCAGCTCTTCAAGGAGTTAGTAAATAGGACCCTCTGTGAAAGTGCCCTCAGGGACAAGGAAGCAGTACAGACCTGGTAGATATTTAGGGACACCTTCCACAGATTGAACCTTCCAGGAGCAGGAAATCAGGCAAAGAAGGCAAGAGAGTGGCATGGCTGAGTTGGGACATGCTGGTTAAACTAAATGGCAAGAAGGAAGTTCATGGGCATTGGAAGCAAGGGTAGGTGTCCTGGAAAGAGTACAGATACAGTCTAGCTGTATAGGGATGAGATGAGGAAGGCTGAGGCAAAGCTGGAGCCCAGCTTTTTAAGGCATGCACAGAACGAGAAGGGCCCCTGCAGATATCTCAGCCAGAAAAGGAAGTTCAAAGAAACTACCATCCATGACAAGCAAGGCTGACACACTGGTAACAGCAGCTGAAGAGAAGGCTGAGGTATTCAACAATGTTTCTGCCACAGTCTTCACTGACAGCTTTTCTTCCCACACCTGTCAAGTGAATGGACCACAAGACAGGAACTAGAGAGCAACAAGCTCTCTAATTCTTGCTCATGCACTAGTTCGCTCATGCACTGTTGGCAAAGATCAGGTTCGTGATCACATGAGAAATCTGATTGTGCATGAGTTTATGGGATCCCAGAGTCCTGATGGAATTGGCTGATGCAGTTGTCAAGCCTCTCCCCATGATACTTGAAAAGTCACATGAAGTTCCAGGTGACTGGAAAAAGGGAAATATACTACCCATCTTTTAAAAGCGTAGAAAGGAGGACCCTGGGAACTATCAACCTCTCAGCCTCACCTCTGTGCCTGGGCAAATCATGGAGCAGATTGTCCTAGAAGCTCTACTGAGGCACATGGAGGACACAGGGAGGTGACTTGAAACAGCAGCAGAGCTTTGCCAAGGGCAAGTCCTGCCTGATCAACCCAGTGGCCTTCTGTGATGGAGTGACTACATCAGTGGACAAGGGAAGGGCTACAGATGTTATTTATCTGGATCCAGTCTCTGACAGGATCCTCAACAACAACCTTTTCTGAATTGAAGAGAGATGGATTTGATGGGTGAACTGTTCTGTGGCTAAGGAATCGGTTGGATGGTCACATCCACAGGGTAACGGTCAATGGCTCAATGGACATTGGTGGCAGGTGGAGTCCCTCAGAGGTCTGTCTTAGGAAAAGTGCTATTTAATATCTTCTTAATGACATAGACAAAAGGATCGAGTGCACCCTCAGCAAATTTGCAGATGTCACCAAGCTGAGTGGTGTAGTTGACACACCTGAAGGATGTGATGCCCTCCAGAGGGACATGGACAAGCTTGAGGAGTAAGCCCATGGGAATATCCTGAGATTTAACAAGACCAAGTGAAAGATGTTGCACCTGGGTTGGGGCAACCCTGGGTGCCAATACATGCTGGGGGACAGACCGATCCCCATCCGTGGAAACATTCAAGGTCAGGTTCGACAGATCTCTTAGCAACCTGATCTAGTTCAAGATGTCCCTGCTCATCGCAGGAGGGATTGCACTGGATGACCTTTAAAGATCCCTTCCAACCCAAAGCATGATCTTCAGTGTTTGGCATTTTTTTTTCCAATTCATTATGGCTGTGGAATGAATTCTCAGCTTAAGGTCACTAATACTTGAAGTTAATTCTGGTGGCCTTCCTGAATAAGGGCAGTAAAAGGTGTAGGATAACACTGAATATGAACCTCAAAACAAACACACTGCTTTCATTATTTTTAGAATAAGAAATACATTCTCCTTGGTAGATGCCTTCTTCTGCTGGCCTGGCTCAGGGATGGTGACTCAACCACTTCACTGGGCAGCCCATTTCAGTGCTTGACAAAAGTTTTATTTTTTTTCTTTAGTTGATTCAATATTTCATGTTAATCAGGATTAATCTTATTTGCACGTACAATGAGATGGCACACATCTCAAAGAAGGGAGCAAAGCTGAGTGTTGCTAGGTAAGAAAACTGGAACAAATTGCCCAGAGAAGTTGTGGATGCCCCACCACTGGAAGTGTTCAAGGCCAGGCTGGATGGGGCTCTGAGCAATGTGGTCTAGTGAAAGGTGTCCCTGCCCATGGCAGTGGGGTTGGAACTAGATGCTGTGTCCCTTCCAACCCAAGCCATTCTGAGAAGCTTCTAAGTAATAAATTGTGCTGACATGTAGGGGATCTTTATGTTCAGGAGCATGAAGGGGTGAAGAAATGCTCCAAGATTTATGCTGAGAAGAGGGCCACCAGGCTGCACCCACCTTGTCACCAGCTCCTGGCTGCTGTCAGCTGTGTGTAGTGCATTTAATGCCTGCTCTGTCCTTCTCTGGCAGTGCAAGCACTGCAGCTCATTAGCAGAGCTGTTGGGGAAACCAGTGCTGCATCACTTGGATTTATCACAAAAACCAAGATGGTGAGGAATGGGATTCTAAACTGAGTGTTTATTTCCATAATCTAACCTTCCTCTGTAATTTAGGCTGCTCTGGATTAACCTGAAGAGCCTCATTCATGTGATGATGGGTGTGTTCTGTACCTTCTGTGCCCATCTGTGTTGTCTGTTGAACCAAGATGTCTTCCTGTCTTGCAAGAAAAACAAGGGGACGGGTGAGTCAAAATTTTTTTTGTGGGCTGAGTAGGACCTTCCTTCACTTTTCTTATGTGAAGAGCCCTAGAGTATTATTTAAGCACACATTGTAATACCAGAATTAACAGGTTGTTTGGGGTTTTTTAACTAGTAATTTCCTTGTTGAGTTATTTGCCCAGCTTCTCTAAGTGTCTCTTATCACGGTAAAGACCATTTAGATGCCATGCACTTGCCATGCACTTTAGATGCCATGGACACCATTTAGATGCCATGCACTTGCACAAAGGGATTGGCTAGAGAGAAGAACTGCTAGGAACAGAGAGGCACAACCTCAGGCACTGCTGGATGTGAAAAGTGCATTTGATTGCATGAAGTCATGGGCAAATCACATCCTTTGCCCTCAGTTTCATATCTTGACAGCAGAGGCAATATAACTCCTCCATGGATTTTTTTTTTTTTTTTGACACTGATTAATTCCTGTTTAATTATAAAGTCACACACTTCTGCTTCCTTCAGCAATGAGTTTTGAGGATATATTCAAACCTTCTGTAGTTAATTTTGCAAAATCTGAAGCTGTTTGCCATATTGTTTTAGTTTGAATTTCATCATTAATCTCAGTTCTTCTCTGTTTTAAATAGGGATAGGTTTTTCCCTTTGGTGCCACCTCTTTCTCATCTGCTTATTCATCCCACCTGTTTGGAGAGCTGCTGCTCCCTGCAGAGAGAAGTCACTAAAGCTGAACTTTCCTCTGAACTCTCTCAAAGCTCTTCACGGAGGAGCCCCCTGCCTTGCCGTGGGGTGTTGTCTTACCTCCTGTGGTCCCTCTACCATTTCTCAGCCAGTTGTTTGGAGGAGGACTCAACACCATCTGCTATTTTTTCCTAATGGCAAGGAATGATCTTGAACTAATTCCATGTGGCTTTTTATAGAGCTAAGACTGTGATGGTCTTAATATGCTGAACTGGAAGTTTAACAGCAGGGGCTGCCCTTACTCGATCTGTTTGGGGCTGGTTACTATATACACAAATGAGGGACCAGCTGAAGCTGGCTGTGTCAAGGATGAACGCTCTCAGGGCTACAGACTTTGGCTTACTTTTTTGTTTTTGTTGGGCTGTTTGATTTTTTAAATTTTGTTGGATTTTGAGGTTTTTTATTGTGGTTTTGTTGTTGTTGTTTTGTTGTTGCTTTTGCTTGCTTTTTTTTTTTTTTTTTTTTTTTTTTTTTTTTTTTTTTTTTTTTTGTGGGATATCTAATTGTTCCCTCTTGTAACAATATTTGCCAAGCAATAAATTCTTCAATTTCTTATTCAGGTAAAGCTCCTGAAGCCACTGGGGATTGTGTCAAGGTGAGGGTTGATTAAATGGCTGAATAACAAGAATGCAGGTTCTGATTAATGGTATGGTACTGAAGAAACCCCTTGCTTCTCTTCCACTTGTGAAAAATGTGGTGTTTCTCTAGAAGGAAAATAAAGATGTATTTAAAGTAATTTCAAATGAATGACTAATAAGTAGCCCAAGCAATATTATAATGAATCAATTTGTTTTGTAACAGAGAAAAGTATTCAGAAATCAGACTTTGCAGACTAATACTAGAAGTATTTAAAAAAATTAGATGGAATCATCTCTATTATGACTTAGCATCCTGGAATCATTAAGGCTGGAAAGGACCTCTAAGACAGACTCCAACTGTTAACCCAGCACTGCCAACCCCACCATTAATCCCTGTGATTTTTAACAAACTTGGACTTGTATGAGCTTCACTATACAGATGCACAATATAAATACAGAGTGTGTTTCCGTAACTATTGTGTGTGCAAATAAAAAAATCTAATGCAAATCAAAGCAGCTCTGTGCCTGAATTAGTCCTCAGACTCTTGATGACATTATTGAAACCATAGTGGAAGTGTCAGATGGCTGCCATAAGGTAAATTTCTATGTCATTAGAGACGGTGGGTTTTTTTGCCTTGGACTTCAAAAATAATTTTCATATTTTTATCAAGTTTATCTTTAAAAGGGCTCTTGTATATTTGACATTGTGCTTTTTTAAAAGTTTTTTTTCTTGCCTCTCCTTTTTTGCATGTATAGAATTAGTTTGGGTGCAAAAGGGATAGTTTTGAGACCTCCAGTTTCACTCAGATTTAATCAACATCTGTGTGCTGTGGTGTGCCACATCTGAAAGCTCAGCAGATTTGTCCAAGCAAGAACTGCAGAATTTAATCCTGAGTCACTAATAATATTTATTTTTAAAAAATCAAATTATCTCCATTGTCTATCATCACTTCTTTTTAACTGCTTGCTGGAGCTATAAATGGGCTATAAATTCCATGTATCCGTATCTGCTGTATCCTGCTGTGTGTTTGCTCTCCATCGCGTAGGCAGGAATAGGATGCTGATTTGGCTCTGTAGAAGTTTAAAAGGATTGCCATGTGGATATTCAGCAAACATCTTCAGTCAGAAGTGATCATTAAGTCCTTCCTAGCTCACTAAAGTGCAGAAGTGCAAATAAGAGACATAAATCAAAGTCTGACTGTTGGAAGGGAGAGACTTGGCTTTTTTTATTTTATCAGAGGGACAGCTGAATCTTAGTTTATTTCCTCAGCTTCACCTACTTTATTGGTGTGTTTTGTGAAGGTGAGAGGCCAGAAGGCCCAGGAACTCGGTGCCAGGGAAGAAGTCAGCCTTGGCAAATCTTTTGTTGTGCCCCTGCAGTCATGCAGCTTGCCTGTAGTATGTTAGGAATGACCCAGAAAAAGCAGAATTACGTTATCTAGCAAGTACCAGTAATACTTAAAGCTATGAAAGATTTGCCTGGCAGCTTTTGTAAGGCTATTCAGAAAAGATATTTTGGGATAGCTATTACATCAAGGTTAAAATGATTCCATGCCAGCACCACCAAAAAGATGAGGGGTTACTTTATGCATTTCACACCAGTGACAAGCCCCACAAATGTTTTGTTGGCCCACTCCCCTCCCAGGACATGGTTCCAGGCCTTCATTTTCATGCCAATTGGTCAAAACCACAATTGTTTTAAAATCTCTTTAGGACTGCAATTGCAGCACTGCAGCACAGACAGATGCTCAGAGGAAGGGTAGCTGTGCAGTACAGGAAATTATCATCAAGAGAAATGTATGCCATGAGTAACAATACTGTGTCACATAGCACAGGCTAATCCAGTGTTACAGCAGTAGCAGTCCTGGACAGCTACATCTGGTGTTCCAATTTTGTGTCCTTTGCTCATCCTCTCCTCCATCCCAGAGCTCCAGCCTTCCTGCCTGCATGCTTGCTGTCACTGGCAGGCGCTCTGCCTTTCTGCTCCTGTGTCCTTGGGTGGGAGGGAGTGATGCTCACACCTGTCTGAGTGTTCGTGACCTGCTCTACTGTCACTGCTCTGCATGAAGCCTCTCTTTGGGGAAATTATTACTCATGTATTATTACTCACAACAACTGTGCCGTTCTGTGGATATTTTTATGTTGTTTCTCTTTCTGGTCAAACACTGAAATGTACTGCTAAGATCACAGGGAGTTCTCTCCAGCTGTTTCAAATGTAAATAGTTATTATGGATGTTATGCAGTAAATGCTTTCCTAGGCAGTTCTCCATGCATGAGTAATGAAACTCAGTTAGAAGAATTACAGTCTTACTTTAGTTTTAATTATCACTTCTGCAATGCAGCTCTTCTAAAGAATATTGCTAGCGGTAGTGCCGTGTAAGCTAAATAGTAAAGCTCCTCCACTGATTAAGTGCTTCCCCCTGCATGTGTTTTAGGAGACAGTGAGCAGCCTGAGGTGCCTGCTCATTGCTGATGTATTGGTATTACCAATATGATGTGGTTCTCTCCCAGCTGTTGGTCCTCCTGCCGTGCACTTGCAGAGGTATCTATTGCAAAGGCACCTGTGATGGGGTTTTTCAGTCCTCACTGACCTGATTCTGCAATGTCACACAGGCACTGGGGACAACGTGAGAGCACAGAAATCACCTTGGCAGGGAGGTTTCATTGCACAGAATCACAGAATCACTAGGTTGGAACTGACATTCAAGATTGAGTCCAACCCAGCCCTAATACCTCAACTAAACCATGGCACAGGTGCCACATCCAATCTTTTTTTAAACACATCCAGGGATGGTGACTCCACCACCTCCCTGGGCAGACCATTACAGTACTATATCACTCTTTCCATAAAAAAAAACTTTTTCCTAATATCCAACCTGTATTTCCCTTGGTGCAGCTTAAGACTGTCCTCTCGTTCTGTCCATTGCTGCCTGGCGAATGAGACCAACCCCACCTGGCTACAGCCACCTTTCAGGAAGTTGTAGAGTTGATAAGGTCACCTCTGAGTCTCCTTTTCTCCAGGCCAAACACCCCCAGCTTCCTCAGCTGTTCCTCACAGGGCTTGTGTTCCAAGCCCCTCACCAGCCTTGTTACCCTCCTCTGGACATCCTCAAGGGTCTCAAGGTCCTTCCCAAACTGAGGGGCCAGAACTGGACACAGCACTCAAGGTTTGCCCTCACTAGTGCCAAGTACAGGGGAAGGATGACCTCCCTGCTCCTGCTGGCCACACTGTTCCTGACACAGGCCAGGATAACATTGGCCTTCTTGGCCACCAGGGCACACTGCTGGCTCATGTCCAGCTGGCTGTCACCAGCAACCCCAGGTCCCTTTCTGCCTGGGCACTGTGCAGCCACACTGTTCCCAGGCTATAAAGCTGCAGGGGGTTTTTGTGGCCAAAATGCAGGACTTGGCACTTGGACTTATTAAACTTCATCTTATTGGACTCTGCCCATCCACCCAACCGTTCCAGGTCTCTCTGCAGAGCCCTCCTGCCTTCCAACAGATCGACACACACTCCCAGCTTAGTGTCATCTGCAAATTCACTAAGGAAAGACTAACTTGTTCTAGACACCATATTTAGGCCACTTAATCCTGCTGGGAGAAGGGACTCAATACCAGGGGAGAACATCTAAACTCAGGCATTAATGTGGGAGTTCAGTTCACTCCAGTCCATGGAGATCTATTCTGTATTACTGATGAATCTAAAATAATTAAACTCTCTAAACCCAGGATTCAGTAGCCTAAAAGCAAATGTCTAATGTGTTATTTTAGGTGTTGTGGAGTATCCCACTTGGCATCCAGTTGCTTCACCAAAAAGAACGTGGGCTTTCTCCATCTTACATCACATCTACCAGCCCTGTGCAGATGTCTCATCTGCCCTGGAGTATCGAATGGCAGGAGGAGCCAGCATTAAAGAGCTGAAGCCCATCTGTTCTGGTAGGGCATCTGATTCCTCCTTCAGGCTCCCTTGACTGCATCAAACTGATCTCTGCTGATTAAAGAAGGAACCAAAGTACTAAATTTTGAGATAAGATATAAGCCTGACTCCCCAAAATAAAGCTATCTCACTGGAAAAATAACAACATTTGGGAACTGAAAGTGACAACTAGATAATTTGTGGGTGCAATTGTCTCTATTCCATCCTTCTCTTACCATGCCAAATGGCAATCCAGCTTACAGGGCAATGATTATTTTTAAGGCAGTTTTTCAGAGTCCCTCTTGCTGTAACTGCACCCTGATGCAAAACTGGCTTGAGAATCCCTTGTCACCTAGACAAGGTTGCCAGCTAGGGATTCAGAAGCAAAGTATGACAGGAGGCAAGAAGTAGACTTAAAATTAAGTCTTGCCTTTGCAAGGTGAAAGAGGTGGGAAAGTGTCGCTGGGAAATTCACCAGAGATTTTTTTTTTGACAAAAACATTTTGATTTGACTAATTGCATCTACAGCCAGCATCTGATGAGATGGAAATTTTACTATGGAAACAGAGCTACAGGGCAGATTTAGCCAGAGACAAACAGAGACAAACAGCTTAGGGTGGGAGTTCACAAGACTGGCATTGGACTTGGCTGCCCAAGGGGTTTACGACTGCCTTTTATGATCTAGACATTTTTCTGTCTTTGTCAACACTTGAGAGAAGTGACAGGTAAAATGGGAT